CTCTAACCTCTCCATCCTGCTAATTTACTTTATTACAACAGGGTTCCCATTGCTCCATCACTGTCAGACAAGTCATCTCTTCCAGTGCTACTCCAGCTGCTCATTTCCTTTTTCTCCCTGCAGCTCCAGTTCCTTGTTACTCTCAGCTGTCCCTTGCTTGCTGCAACTTGCATGTCTCGTTCCCTCTCTACAGCTTTCAGAAATCCTTCAGATTGATCTGACCACTATAAGGAGATTCTGTGTATGATACACAGTAGGCATTCCTTGTATCATCTGCCTACACAGATGTCTTTTAGAAACATCTATGTAATTAAGTTCTTTCCTTAACATACAGCATATCATAATATAAAAAAAAGTTATTCAGAATGTCTCAACTTATTATAAAGATAATGTTATTGTTTACAGGTTGCTCATGCTAAAATTCAGAGTCTGGAATCCAGCCTGGAGACTATTTTGACTCGAGAGAACAAAATGAAGACTGTAATTCAGTCCCTGGAACAGGAGAAGATAACATATCAAAAGACTCTTGAGCAGATAATGAAGTATTTGCCAGCAGAAGTGTTGTCTGACTGTGAACTGCTCCTGAAGGAAGTAAACTACAATCCAAATAATAAAATAAAATAAGGACTAAGCCATAAACCAGGGTTTTCTAGGCAGCATTTCTTCAAAAAAGGGAAGGAAAAGATGAGTATGCTGCTTTCAAAGGACTTAGCAATAGGCAACAGTATCATCCAGAACTAGTGCTGGGACACTCATAGCTACAGATGGGCCTTCAAATGTCAGTATGCAAATTCAGGCTGTTAATTTTTTTATGATTGTGTAAATAAATCACAAGGGGGAAATAAAGGATTCTCACGTGTAATTATCATAAATAGATGTATATTTAGAGTTGACCTAAAGGAAAAGAGAAATTTCAGTAATCAAAGCGAAGATAATGGTGTTTTACAAATTCACTCTGGATGTGCTTTCTCTTGTAGTGAAATGAGGAATGCGTGTCTTTATATATAATGTATGTTGAATAATACTTGAAGAAAAAAAAAGAAGAATGTAATTTTCCCTCCAAAGAGCAGCACGTTTCACATCTTCTGTGGAAAATCTGTGTGAACTCATGCGTGCCTCTCTTAATTCTACTGACATTGTGTGCACAGACCAATAAGCAGAATAAGTATCATGACTTGGTTCGTACAGAAAGAGCTCTAGTGCCATCCGCTGCCTGGGCTGTACTGGTCAGCAATGTAATTCCACATGCATGTTGGAACTGGAAACAAAAAGCATCATGTCATAGCTCCGCCTCCATAGCTCAATGCTAAGAAATAGGTATCTATACACACCCGCAGAACTTGTAAAGACAAGAGCTAACGGTGACTGCTACTTCCTTCCCCGGCCTGTTTGCTTCCACCTGTCCTGGGGCTGGTCATGATGACAAGAGGAAGGAAGCAAGGCTGTGGGGTGGTATTTATTCTGATGTTAATTTCCTGCAGGAGACTTGCTGTCATAAGACTATGGCATGTAAGAAGTTCTCATTTAACCAAAGAAATACTACAAGAAGCCTTGTCTTATCGTAGTGGGAGCCAGAAAGCTGTTCTTAAATTTTATTTGAAGAGAAAATTGAGGCGGGTTGCAGGAAGTTGAGCATAAAGTGCACGAGAGAGGACCAAGCAAGTTTCAAATATTATGTACCTTTCAATTCTCACATACACAGTGGATATACATTTCAAAGGGGATTCTGAAGTACAGGTGCAGTTTTAATAATGCTTTCCAGGTTATTCCTGTTTTAATACTGCTTTGTGGTCTTCTTTTTAAAACAGAAGTTATGAATTTGTGTGTTCTGGGCAGAAGGTAGGTAAGCTCTGATCATTTCAAGGGAGAAAATATGTTTATAAAGGTATAAAAAGATGCATATAGATTTGAAAATGTTTTTGAGTGGAATTTTTGAGAAGACTTAGACAACTGTGTAATAGACACGTATTTTGGAGTGCATGTCTGAACCGTTAACTGAGTGTTACAGTGGCTCATGTTATCTCTTACCATTTATACTGTATTTCAGGAAACACTTATTCTTTTTAGTAAGAAAAACAATTAAGCGAAGTGCCAAATCCAGCAGTGTCTTTATGCATAAGATTGTCCAATTTAGAAAGCAAGGACTGAATATCACGGCTCTTTAAGTATTGTGCTTTATGTTAACATAGAAGTGAGGAACAGCAATGCTGATTTGCTGCACGCTGCTGTGGAACTTAGGGGCTTGGGGGTCTCCTGTTCTTTTGTTGTTGTTGTTTTTTACTTCCATGGTGTTTTATTTGATTAAAGATATTGATTTACTTAATAGTCTTTCTTTTTACAGTTGGGGTGCAAGGTCTTAACACTGTGTATAAAATTATGTGGAATCTGTCTAGATATTGTACTAGGTGGGAAGATGCCAAGTGAAAAGGCAGTTCTTTGCAGTTTTGTTCAGAGCAAGTTTTAGCTGATGTGTACATACAAAACCAATCCCAGGAACTGCAGTAGTGTGTATTACAAAGAATCAAGGCTATTCAGATATGTCTTTTTTTTTTTTTTTCCTTTTTTTTTTTTTTTTTAAAGATGCACTGAATGTGCTTTATCCTCTGTTTCACTTATAAAATTTTTCATGTAATGCCTGGAGAAATTCCAATAAATGTCATTGCTGCATTTCCCATGGCCTCTGGCTAGTTTTATTTTTCTACACTTCAAGTACCAATCTCATTCTCAACAGTACTGTTTACATGAAAGATGAAAAGGATCTGTTTAGTTTCTTGTTGTGGGGAAAAAAAACATAGGATTTGTAGAAACGCATGGGGAGGATAGAAATTCTTATTGGGGAAAATAGTCTTGCATTGTTCTTAATAGAAGATGAAATGATTAAAAGGTATTTTTCTCCTGTAGCAGTTCATTTAGTACGTATGCATGTTGAGAATAGTAATTTGATGAACTCCACGCTGTACATCTAGCTTGGGAGGAGAAGGACAACACCGTATCAACAAGCAGGAATAAACTACAGAAGTGAAACCACAGTGAGGTAAGTGCCTCATGACATTACGGCATTCGTGATACCATTTGTGTTCTGGACGCAAGTGTGGCTTGTAACTGGGTATCTCTAGGGTGTCTAGCTTGAAGTCTGCACGCAAGCAGGTATGCTCCAGACCATCTTCAGATGAATAACCAGCAAGGTTATCTAGACGACTGTGAAGGGCGTGTGTGTTTGTGTCCATCTGTTTGTCTCTCCCTGTCTATCGTATAGATAGTTTTACAGCTGTTCTGTTCTGGTTGCAGTTGTGCAACTGTGAAGAGGGAAGTCTGAGGTGCAGTGCGCCAGAGACAGCTGCAAGGGTATTTGCTTGGGAGAAGGGACGGTTCCTGGGTTTGGACAAATTGCTCATTTATTCCTATATCTTGTTTTTCTGTTTGGAAAAAAAAGTTTTCAGAATAAAGCTATTGTTCTGTCTGAGCTAAGCACAACAGCACTCTCAGTTCTTGCAGTCAACTTGCAGAGAACGAACTCGGGAGGAAAAAGTATCCGCTGTTTTCAGGAACAGCTAACTTAGACTGGTTTCTGCTGGCAGAGGGCTTTTTTAAAAGTCTGGGAAGAGATCCATCCTTTTAGCTAGCAAACTAGCTTGTAAATGAGGAGTACTACTTGCCAGGAATGCAGTTGAAATAGGTCAGTCTGTTAAGAAGGGCTAACGCAGGGAACTCTGGTATTCGCATCTTTTATGGACAGAAAACTCGGCCACAAAGTTGTTTGGGTTTTTTTCTCTTCTAAAAAGGAGAGTGTGTATTTCTCTCCTAAAAAGCGGAATATTTATTTAAGATGCCTTTAAGTTGCATTTTGTTCACTTTTCTCTAAAAAAGCATTAGATATTACTGAAAAATCAGTCTCCTGATAAATGGCATGTTCCAGTTGAAGACCTGACTTGAAATCACAAATCTAGCTAATCTTAAGTGGTTTGATTATGCCCTCTTCAACATGACAGATACAGACCTATTTCTTTGCTTAATATCACTACGAGAAAGCTGAACAATTTGTAACATAGGAAAGAATTTCAGCAGTTTGGTCCAAGAATTTGATATTACTAGCATGATCCAGAGGGTCTACACTTGGACGCTTAATTTAAACCTAAAACCACATAGGTATTAGTGTGTTGAGGTGAATAACACCAGGCACTGTTAATAGTAATTATCCACTCAGTCTTTGTAGTCATAGATGGGTGTTGACAGGCATGTGCAGGCCATAACATTTCAAGCTTTATGCCAGGCTACACCATCCATTTGAAGAATTATAATTCATTCTGTATTTCTGTAGTTCAGCTTTTACTGTCAGTGTTAACTACTGAATGCATTTAACGTATGCTTTGCCTTCCTCAGTCTTTCTGGTGACTAGAAAGAACAAAATTTAACTTTCTTTTCCAAAAAGCCATATTGAATGCTTAGCTGTATCCTTCCTCCAGACACCTGGTGTGCAAGGGATAGAGTTTATATGCTTTAAGTTTAATATGTTAGCTCATTCTGTCTGAAAGCATATTAAACTCGGCAGCGACAGTAAAAAGCTGGGGAGTAAAGCAGAGATTACTGTGTGCCTTGAGCAGCTAATGGGTTGTGTGCTGACTGGCTTGCAATGAAGGGGAATCTGGATGGATTGGTACTTGGTGTGTTGTTTGCTTTTGCTTTTATTTTAATGCTGACCTTAATTCTGGACCAAAGGAAGGAGCTGGTGGTGCTCCTTTACCAAAATGTTGTGTTGGGGTTTCATTTGAGTTGAGAAGGTTTTCCGTTCCTTTACTATTCTCTTCAGAACACTTACTCAGCAACCACTTCTTAACAAGGGACTTGGGAATTGTTGTTTGTAGTCTTACCATCACAAGAACTTCTCTTGGAGCTTATCCAAACTGTTCCTGTACTCAAATTACAACTTACTCAAGTCTTCACTCTGATAAAAGAAAGTTAGAAGGGTTTAATATATTGGTTTTATTTTTGGTTGGAGTGCGTGCTGAGAGATGACATAAATGCCATACATCCTGTCCTGCCGGAACGTACATGGGGGGAAGTGTAGAGTGAGCTTGTGCTTGTGAAACACTGGACTAAGAGATGTCACTTCTTAGTGTGGGAAATAGGTCTGTATCTGACTTCAAAACAGAGACCTAGTTGCACTGGCTGTGTGTACTCTATGCTGTTACCTGTCCGAATGATTACTTCAGTCGCCTGCATACACTTACTATTTGGAGTTGCAGATATTTAGATGTATACGGCCATTTTTGTCTAAAAAGCTCAAACTGCTTGTACCATCCAATTTTGAGCATGAACGAAGCAAGAATGAAGCATTCTGTATAGTATAAGCATTCTCTTCACATCCAGAGTAGCCGTCCAGCTGAAAACCTTGTTTCAGAACAGAAGAAACACACAGTGAACGAAGAGCTGGTTTGAGCCTATAGTTACTTTTCCCTTGGCTGGGCAAGTGGGCTACCCAAAATAGAATCATAGAATATCTCAAGTTGGGAGGGACCCATAAGGGTCATCGAGTCCAACTCCCTGCTCCTCGCAGGACTACCTAAAACTAAACCATATGACTAAAAGCAACTTCCCTGGGGAGCCTGTTCCAGTGACCGACCACCCTCTCAGTGAAGAACTTTTTCCTAATGTCCAACCTGAACTTCCCCTGACACAGCTTCATTCCATTTCCTTGTGTCCTGTTGCTGGTCACCAGAGATAGGAAATCAGCACCTCTCCCTCTGCTACCCTTCTTGAGGAAGTTGTAGACTGTGATGAGGTCACCCCTCAGCCTTCTCTTCTCCAAGCTGAACAAACCGAGTGACCTCAGCAGGTCCTCCTAAGTCTTGCCCTCGAGGCCTTTCACCATCTTGGTCACCCTCCTCTGGACACACTGTAATACTTTGATATCCTCCTTATACTGAGGCGCCCAAAACTGCACACAGTACTTGAGGTGAGGCAGCACCAGTACAGTGCAGAGTGGGGCAATCACCTCCCTCGACCAGCCGGCAATGCTCCAGGACAATGGACCAGCCAATGTCCTGGGATGCACCCCAGGACACAGCTGGCCCTTTTGATTGCCAGGGCACACTGTTGACTCATATTCAACTTCCCACCAACCCAACCCCCCAGATCTCTTTCCGTGGAGCTGCTCTCCAGCCTCTCGTCCCCCAGTTTGTACGTATAACCAGGATTACCCTGTCCCAGGTGGAGAATCTGGCACTTGCTCTTGTTAAATTTCATATGGTGATATGATGGTTAAATTTCACTATGGCTCTCTAGTCTATCCAGATCTCTCAGTAAAGCCTCTCTACCCTTGAAGGAGTCCACAGTTCCTCCTAGCTGAGTATCATTGGCAGTCCTGGGGAATAGAGATACCCAGGGGCACAGTGTGAAGTGAAGAGCAGATCCAGGCTAGCCGGAGCCTGGAAGCAGCTGCAATAACACCATGCAAAGTCTGGCTTGCTAAACATCCAGGAATACAGCTGGGTCTGTGCATGGCTCTCTGACGGCTGGACATCACCTCTGTGCTGCATCTCGGGGCTCCTTGCTTCAGACGAGGTCAAGTCTGGTCCTGTGGACTGAGCGCCCATTTGTCCAGTGCAGTTTGTGCTCCTGAAAGATGTCTTCCAGCTTAGTTTTATGTGTCGAGACAGCGCTATGATGCAAACCAAATCAGAGTAAGTAGGGATGATTTCATTCAAAACATACACCTGATGCTAACTAAAACCCTCCTGTAAGCCCCCAAAGCCAGTCAGCATCCCATCAGTGCTTCTCCAGGAGGACACAAGACTGGTTTTGTATGAAGCTGCTGGGCTGTCTGCACTGTCCTCTCCAGCACTCAGTAAAGGGTAATTTTTTTCCAGTGCTACAAAAAAACATTTGCCTTTAATTTTTTAGTGATCAATCCGCTAAAGTTGATGCTTCAGAAGAAATCGTAGTTATTAAATTTGTACCTGAATATTGTCCACGAGGTGTCACTGTTGCTTTTGTACGTGCAGCTCATGTGCCTATGTGGCAGTGTCATCGTTGCAGAGCTCCTGTGCTCTGCACAGTGCGAGCAGCACACTATGGCTCTTATTTTAGAGAGGAGAATTAACTTATTCTCCTGCCCGATGAAGCACAATGTGCTATTTGCACACTATTTGTAATAAAACGTGATGTTCACGGTCAAAGAGTTTATTGTAATGAGAGGGCTTACCAAATAATAGATATGGCCTTCTCAGAAACGGATGCCTCAGTTGCAGTGTTTAGCCTCTGCTCTTGTGTGAGAGAACTATGGAAGCACTTTTACACGCTACAACAGGCATATTGTCCCCAGCAATCTGATCCTGGGTGTCTCCTTTTGTACCGTTCTGGTCGAGCAGGATTTAATTTTATGTCTCTTGAAAC